TTTTTGCTTAATCGTCACAAGTTATTCTAAATGCTTTAAAGAAGCCAAACAGGGGACATACTGTAGGGTCAAGAGTACACACAACATACTCAAAATGAAATCATCTTCCTTCATGTTCCTCTTCTTGCATCCTCTATTTTTATCAGTAGTACCACCATATTCCACATCACCAAAGTTCATAATCATTATAACACTTTACGCTTCCCTCTTCTCCTGTCCATTACATCCAATCAGATGCCAATCCTCTCCATGGCTGCTTTCCAATCCCCTTGTAAAATTGTAAAAAAGATTTAATGAAAGTATATATTTAGAAAATAATTGGCAAATTCTTTAGCATATTTTAAGAATGCAATAATGGCTGGGTGTTATTATTATTTTCATAAGTATTACCCTGAGTATGACCCTGTTTTCTGACATGTAAAGACAAGATAAGACTCTTGAGAGTCCCATGGACAGTAAGGAGATCAAACCAGTCAATCCTAAAGGAAATCAACCGTGACTATTCACTGGGGGACTGATGCTGAAGCTGAAGCTCCAATACTTTGGCCACCTAATGGGAAGAGCCAACTCATTGGAAAAGACCCCAGCACTGGTAAAGATTGAGATCAGGAGGAGAAGGGGGTTACAGAGGATGAGATGGTTGGATGGCATGATCGACTCAATGGACATGAGTTTGAGCAAACTTCAGGAGATGGTGAAGGACAGGGAAGCCTAGCGTGCTGCAGTCCAAGGGGTCGCAAAGATTTGGACACGACTGATTGAGTGAACAGCAGCAACAAGGACAAGAGAATTTGACTTTCCACATTCACTTTTAGAGAGTGTAAGAAAGTCTCAGGAAGGTAGAGAAGAGTACCAGCCAATAACTGGCTTTGTATCCTTGGAACTTAATGAATATCCCAGAGTCTATATTTTGAAATCCCAATATAAGGCTGCTGATAATAAGTAGCCTATCTCATAAGGTTGGTCAGCTTGAGATGAAATATAAATTTAAAACTCCTTTGCAAGATATAAAGTAATATACAAACACATACTGTTATTTCCATCCTCTTTTTTTTAATTACAAAGTGAAAATAAGCAGACTGGGAAACACGATGACCAAGATTTTAAAACTCTACTGATTATGAAGAGAAGGTTCAGAACTGTCTATGATTCTGTATAATATGTAATTTTCATCTCACATGAGCAATGCTTTGCAGAAAGACCTTCTGACAGTGAAGGAGTGACTCTGCAGAGCAATACTTTTATATTCTGGAATGAAATGGTCACTCTTTACAAAAGAAAAACCTAACTTCATTTATTTTTTTTACTTCTTATTTTTCATGAAGATGGTTAGGACTAAAGTCCTATGCTGAGGACTGAATCAAGATAAAGAGGCACAGTTAAACTTTTTCCTTTGTAGTATAAAAAGCTTGCTTCAGCCTCTTATTTGGAAATAATTTTAAACTTATAGAAGTGTTGCAAAGCTAGTATAGTGAGTTTCTATATACTTTCCAAACAACTTCCCATAATGTTAGTATCTCACATAAGTATGCTTTAATCATCAAACTAAGAAATTTACATTAGCACAATATTAATAACTAAGTTATAGACTTTATGCAGGTTTCATCAGTTCTTCCTCTACTATTCTTTTTCTGTTCCAGGATATGTTTCAAGGTCCCACACTTCATTTAGTTGCCATTTTCCTTCAGTTCAGTTCAGCTCATTTCAGTCGCTCAGTCGTGTCCGACTCTTTGCTACCCCATGAATCACACCACGCCAGGCCTCCCTGTCCATCACCAACTCCCGGAGTTTACTCAGACTCATGCCCATCAAATCGGTGATGCCATCCAGCCATCTCATCCTCTGTTGTCCCCTTCTCCTCCTGCCCCCAATCCCTCCCAGCATCAGGGTCTTTTCCAGTGAGTCAACTCTTCGCATGAGGTGGCCAAGGTATTGGAGTTTCAGCTTCAGCATCAGTCCTTTCAGTGAACACCCAGGACTGATCTCCTTCAGGATGGACTGGTTGGATCTCCTTGCAGTCCAAGGGACTCTCAAGAGTCTTCTCCAACACCACAGTTCAAAAGCATCAATTTTTCGGTGCTCAGCTTTCTTCCCAGTCCAACTCTCACATCCATACATGACCACTGGAAAAACCATAGCCTTGACCAGATCGACCTTTGTTGGCAAAGTAATGACTCTGCTCTTTAATATTCTGTCTAGGTTGGTCATAACTTTCCTTCCAAGAAGTAAGCATCTTTTAATTTCATGGCTGCAATCACCATCTGCAGTGATTTTGGAGCCCAAAAACAAAAAGTCAGCTACTGTTTCCACTGTTTCCCCATCTATTTCCCATGAAGTGATGGGACCATTTTCCTTAGCCACTTCTAATTGATGACAACTCAGTCTCTCCTTGCCTTTAATGACCTTGAGATTTTTGAAGAGTACTGGTCAGGTATTTTGCAGGCTTCCCAGTTGGCTGAGTGGCAAACAATCTGCCTGCCAATGCAGGAGACACCAGAGACACAGGTTTGACCTGTGGGAAGGAAATGACAACCTGCTCCAATATTCTTGCTTGGAAAATCTCATGGACAGAGAAGCCTGGCAGGCTAACAGTCCATGGGGCCGCAAAGAGTTAGACACGACTGAGCAACTGAACATACACCCATCTCAATCTGAATTTTCCCAGTGTTTTCTCATAATTGGATTGAAGTTATAAATTTTGAGGAAGAATACCATAGAGGTGAACATGCCCATCCTGAGGAAGTAAATGGTGTCAATATGTTTTATGTGATACTTAAGTGGTACCTGCTAGATTTTTCCACTATAAAATTTACTGTTTCTCTTTGGACTAAGTAAGCATTGGGGGAGATAATTTTTGGCTATGCAAATATTTTGTTTCTCCTTAAAGTTCTGATCAAAATTTTAACATTCATCTGTGGATCTTGCCTGCACAAATGATTCCTATGGCATTCTGATGGTATTTTTCTATTTCCCTCATTCCTTCTACATTTATTAATTGGAATTCTTATATAAGGAAAAGCTGTCCCCCTCTCCCCCAAATGAACCTTATTTGCTTTGTCACCAAAAACAATCACTGTTCAACTCTTTGCATGATTTATGATCCAAATGTCCTGACTTCCTTACAGAGTTATCAAGGGAACTGAATAAGATAGAACACATACAGGGTAAGCATTCAATGAATGTGCATCCCATCCCTTCCACTACCCACTGTCTAACATCCAGATGAGTCCAATGTCTGAGCCCTATAGTTAGCACTCAATCAACCATAATCAATGAAACTTTTTATCATTAGTTAATTTTGCATACATGTGACCACACCAAATAGATTGTAATGCCCCCAAGATGAGCAAACAGACTTCCTATGGCTACATGGATTCACAGCACTGGTACAGTGTACTATACAGAGACAGTCAGAAAATGTACTGAGTGAATGAATAGATATTTGATAAATGCTAAGAAAAGAGATATATATGCTAAGAGTCCTAAATAAGGATCAGTTTAAATGTTTTCCTTTGTTCAAACCATTCTCCCCTATCTCCCTTTCATGTCACTTGCTTCTAGATTGATTTAAACTTCAACATCAATAGATCTCTTTTTCATAGTTCATTCATGCTCCTTTTTAAATCCATCAGGTTTTTTGTATCTTCAAAACAACTCAGAAAACAGCCCTAATTTTAAAACAGGCAAAGGATGGAAATGGACAATTCAAAAAGAGCCAAAAAAGCACAATAAACATTTGGAAGAGAAAGTTTAAATTCAACAGTTGAGCCTCTGCAAGTTCGAACTTTAAGGAATGTTCAAAACACCAGAGGATCTTGTTAAAATATAGATCCTGATTCAATGAGGCAAAGAAAGGATCAGAGATAGTCTGCATTTCTCATAATCTCCAAGCGATGACAATGTTGCTGAGCTTGAGGACCACACTTTGAGCACTCAAACTGTAACCATAATGATGAGGGCTGAAAACAGCTGTGTGCTGTATGTAACTCATTCTGCTGTAGATCAGTACAACCTTTAGGAAAGTAGTTTGTCTTTTTAAGCTAGAGTTTATTGAAGAGATAAAATTGTGACTTTAAGAGTAATTAATGAAACACTATGTGTTAAAAATATAATAGGAAAAAAATATATAACAGGAAAATGCTTACACTATAATGCCAATTGTTTTAGCTTTATTAAGGTATAGTTGACATATAAAGTTGCAAGATAATTAAAATGTATGTTGTGGTGATTTCGTAGACATATATATTATGAAAAGCTTTCTCCATCTAGTTAATTAACACATCCTTTTTCTTTTTCTTTTTTTTAAGAAAACATAAGTTCTACTCTCTTAGCAAATTTCAGTTATACATACAATCTTATCAACTACAGTTATCATCCTATACTTTAGATCCTCAGACTTCAGTCAGCTTATAATTAGAAGTTTGTACCCTTTTTCTAGCCTCTCCCCCTGTCCCCCAACAGCCCCCAGCCCCTGACAACCACTTCTCTACTCTATGAGTCTGACTTATTTTTAAGATTTCACATATAAGTGACACCATGCAGTATTTCTTTCTCTATCTGAGTTATTTTACTTAGCATAATGCTCTCGAATTCCATCTATGTTGACACAAATGGCAAGATTTCCTCCTTTCTGGCGATTGAATAGCATTTCACCACATAATAATGTGCATATATATATGTGTGTGTGTATGTGTATATATATATATACATATATATATATCGCATGCATACACATGTATCTTCTTTATCCATCTTTCTGTTAATGGATAACATAACATTAAATTTAAAAATAATGCAAATTATACAAATAGTATAAGTTTAATTATTGATCAGTTCAATAGTTTAATTATTTAGTGCCTATACGTGCCAAGCACTATTCTAATAGGTGCTTGGAATAATTTAGTAAATAATGCCAAAATCCCTTTCCTTGAGTATCTTACATCCTATATGATTATCACGCATTTAAAAAACAAAAATAGAGCTCTTTCCCATCTTGCAAGATGGCGGGTGAAAAGGCTGAGAAGCCAGATACTAAGGAGAAAAAACCTGAAGCCAAGAAGGCTGATGCTGGCAACAAGGCTAAAAAGGTGAAAATGGTGAAGAAAGTTAAGAAGGGGAAGCCCCACTGCAGCCGAAACCCTGTCCTGGTCAGAGGAATTGGCAGATATTCCCGATCACCCGATTCCAGAAAAGTCCTGTACAAGAGAAAGTATTCAGCAGCTAAATCCAAGGTCGAAAAGAAAAAGAAGTTCGGGTTCTTGCTACTGTCACAAAACCAGTTGGTGACGATGAGAATGGTGGTACCCGAGTGGTCAAACTTCGCAAAATGCCTAGGTATTATCCTTCTGAAGATGTGCCTCGGAAACTGTTGAGTCGTGGCAAGAAAGCGTTCAGTAAGCACGCGAGGAAGCTGCGCGCCAGCATCACTCCTGGGACCGTTCTGATCATCCTCCCAGGGCGCCACGGAGGCAAGAGGGTCGTTTTCCTGAAGCAGCTGGGCAGTGGCTTGCTACTTGTATCTGGGCCTCTATCCCTCAATCGAGTTCCTCTGCGCAGAACACACCAGAAATTTGTCATTGCCACCTCCACCAAAATCGATATCAGTGGTGTGAAAATCCCAGAACATCTCACTGACACTTACTTCAAGAAGAAGAAGCTGCATAAGCCAAGACACCAGGAGGGTGAGATCTTCCACACAGAGAGAGAGAAATACGAGATCACAGAGCAGCGCAAGGTTGATCAGAAAGCTGTGGACTCACAAATGCTGCGAAGAATCAAAGCTGCCCCTCTGTTCCAGGGCTACCTCCGCTCTATGTTTGCTCTCACAGATGGAATTTATCCTCACAAAGTAGTATTCTGAACTTCTTGCAAAGAACCTAATTAAATAATTTGTCCATTTCAAAAAATAAATAAATAATAAAATTTTTAAAAAAACAATAGATACAGTCAAATGTGAGTCAAAGTTAGTTTTGAGCGGCCTTTATTTTCTTCTTTAAATGTTTTGGTAGTTCCATGTTTCAAAGTCGTATAAAAATAGATAATTTCTTCATAAATATTATCGACATGGTATCAAGATTAGTTAACATTCCGCAAGTAGTCTTTTCTGCTGCTGCTGCTAAGTCACTTCAGTCGTGTCCGACTCTCTGCGACCCCATAGACGGCAGCCCACCAGGCTCCCCCGTTCCTGGAATTCCCCAGGCAAGAATACTGAAGTGAGTTGCCATTTCCTTCTCCAAGGCATGAAAGTGAAAAGTGAAAGTGAAGTCGCTCAGTCGTGTCCTACTCTTAGCGACCCCATGGACCACAGCCTAGCAGGCTCCTCCATCCATGGGATTTTCCAGGCAAGAATACTGGAGTGGGGTGCCAAAGACTTAAATTAAGCCATCTTGGTAATTTCAAATATATCTGTTGGTTTTTTGTTTTGTTTTGTTTTTTACTAGAAATATCTTTCTGATGCTGGGAAAGATTGAAGGCAGGAGAAGGGGATGACCAAGGATTAAGACGGTTGGATGGCATCAAACTCAATGGACATGAGTTTGATAACCTCAAGCAGATAGTGAAGGACAGGGAAGCCTGGCATGCTGCCGTCCATAGGGTCGCAGAGTCGGACACGACTGAGCGACCAAACTGATCCTCCTTTCCCTAAATCGTTCTCTAATCCTGTGGTGGATCTTGGACTCCCTCTGCTGGCCAGACAGCATCAACAGAAGGCTGTGTGGTGGTGGGTTAGTCGTTAAGTCTTATTGGACTCTTAAAACCCTACGGACTGTAATCCACCAGGCTCCCCTATCCATGGGATTCTCCAGGCAAGAACACTAAAGTGGGTGGCCATTCCCTTCTCCAGGGGATCTTCCCAACCCAGGAACCGAACCCAGGTTTCCTACACTGTAGGCAGATTCTTTATCGACTGAGTTAAGAGGAAAGATACAACAGAAGACTGAATTGAGAATAAATCTAGAAAATCAGAGCACAACTACCCTCCACAGCAGTCCCTCATTCATTCAATCAAAAGACACTGAATGAATGCCTACTATGTATTAGACATGATCCTTGGTGCTGGAAATACAAAATAAATAAGATACAATCTCAGTCCTTAAACTTGTCCTATACTTTTCTCCAGGAAATTATCAAGTCCCAGAAGATTTTATGAGCCTGGGACTCAAGAAAAAAGTCTGCTCTGCCTTGACAGGATGACTGGTATGTATTTATGCTGGACTATGAAAATAACATGTTTCTGTGAAAATCAGGGACACCTTTCTACAATACCCTCTGAAGTGAAGTGTTAGTCGCTCAGTAGTGTCCAACTCTTTGAGAGCATATGGACTGTAGTCTACCAGATTCCTCTGTCCATGGGATTCTCTGGGCAAGAATAGTAGAGTGAGTTGCCATTTCCTTCTCCAGGGGTTCTTCCCAATCCAGGGACTGACCCCAGGTCTCCAGCATTATGGTCAGATTCTTTACCAGCTGAGCCACCAGGGGAGCTCTGGAAGATACTAAAATATTTAAGCTTCAGATTGCCCGAAACTAAGACAGTTGACATAAAGGAAGAGATCTAGACATTAAAAGATAAAAGTAACCCAAAACCATGAGAAGTTTGGGATTAAAATGTGGTCGGCTGCCCTAAGAAAAATCAGATATGTGCTTGATTCTTTCCTAACACTGGACATGATTTAAAGATTTACATTGCTGCAAGGCTGTGAAACTTCACAAAACAAAAATTCCAGAGATGCTCATTCTTACCCCCTTCATTACATGACCAGCAGCTACCTGTTTGATGTGAAAAGCAAGCATGATATCACAGGAGTGACATTCCTGAAATGAATATTCCCTACAACTGATGTTTTAACCACAAATGTCCATGGTGACAGCTGGAATTTGAACTCTGCTTAAACGTCTCCTAGTAAACTGATTCCCTGATGGCTCAGATGGTAAAGAACCTGCCTGCAATGCAGAAAACCTGGGTTCAATCCTTGGGTCAAGAAGATCCCCTGGAAAAGGGAATGGCAACCTACTCCAGTATTACTGCATGGAGAATTCCATGTGCAGAGGAGCCTGGAGGGCTATAGTCCATGGCATCACAAAGAGCTGGACACAACTGAGCAACTAACTTTTATTTTCACAATAAGTTGATACAACTTGCAAACTCACTGTCTTTTTATCAAGAATTCTGATTCTTTTTTATGATAGTATAAAAATTATAGAAACATGAAAAACTACAGAGGTGTAAATTTTAGAGTAAGTTAAGACATCAGAACATTCCAATAACTTCTCAAGACTTTCTGAATAAAATCTGTAGCCTTTGGTTTAAAAGTCTCTACTAATTGGCTCTATCCAACAGAAGGCCTCCACACTCTCCTTCAAATCACTATAATGCATTAGTTTTGCAGTAACTTAACTTAGCCTAAGCCTTTTTTACTGCTGTATATTGCAACCCTATGAACTGTACCCACCATGCTCTCTGTCCATGGGATTTTCCAGGCAAGAATACTGGAGTGGGTTGCCATTGCCTTCTCCAGGGGATCTTCCCAATCCAGGAACTGACCCCAGGTCTCCAGCATTATGGTCAGATTCTTTACCAGCTGAGCCACCAGGGGAGCTCTGGAAGATACTAAAATATTTAAGCTTCAGATTGCCCGAAACTAAGACAGTTGACATAAAGGAAGAGATCTAGACATTAAAAGATAAAAGTAACCCAAAACCATGAGAAGTTTGGGATTAAAATGTGGTCAGCTGCCCTAAGAAAAATCAGATATGTGCTTGATTCTTTCCTAACACTGGACATGATTTAAAGATTTACATTGCTGCAAGGCTGTGAAACTTCACAAAACAAAAATTCCAGAGATGCTCATTCTTACCCCCTTCATTACATGACCAGCAGCTACCTGTTTGATGTGAAAAGCAAGCATGATATTACAGGAATGACATTTGTGAAGTGAATATTCCCTACTGAAAGGTTGTTGCTGAATGAAAAGACGCTGGGATTCTTGGCCTCCAGAGGAGACAAATTCAATCCGGGGCCAGAGACAAGGCTGGATCACTCAGAGCTTTTGATTAATAAAGTTTTATTAAAGTATAAAGGAGATAGAGAAAGCTTCTGACATAGGCATCAGAAGGGGGTAGAAAGAGTACCCCCTGCTAGTCTTCAGCTGGATGTTAGATAGTCACTAGCAGTCTGTTAATGAAAAGAAAGGAATGTCTTAAAACTCAGAATGGCACCAGATAATTCATATCAAGCCATAAAACGATTGACTTGAATCTTGTAGAAGGGCAGATTACCACACAAATAGTTTCGTTTACATAGATTAGGGGAACAATATCTGAGTATAACATACAGGTATGTCAAGTAGGTTCTGAGCCATTTGGCAGAACTTGAAGACAGAATCTAGGGTACATTAACATAGCTTAAGACAAACATTTCCATAAGAAAAAATGTATTGGTTAACTCAAGGTTTGAGAATAGTTAGCTTCAAGTGAAACCAGGTGTCATGGCAACACAGCATTTTAAGAGAAACCTCCTTTTAAATTTGTATAGAGAAGGAAAAAAAATATCATCAGTTTGTTTCCTCCTGCCACTTAAGAGAGATAAAAATGTCTGGCACTTGCAGCCTATTTCCTCCAATTGGAGACTCCTGGCCTTCCTGCCTGTTACCCTCTCACTACAACTGATGTTTTAACCACAAATGGCCATGGTGACAGCTGGAATTTGAACTCTGCTTAAACATCTCCTAGTAAGCTGATTCCCTGATGGCTCAGATGGTAAAGAATCTGCCTGCAATGCAGAAAACCTGGGTTCAATCCTTGGGTCAAGAAGATCCCCTGGAAAAGGGAATGGCAACCTACTCCAGTATTACTGCATGGAGAATTCCATGTGCAGAGGAGCCTGGAGGGCTATAGTCCATGGCATCACAAAGAGCTGGACATGACTGAGCAACTAACACTTTTACTTTCACAATAAGTTGATACAACTTGCAAACTCACTGTCTTTTTATCAAGAATTCTGATTCTTTTTTATGATAGTATAAAAATTATAGAAACATGAAAAACTACAGAGGTGTAAATTTTAGAGTAAGTTAAGACATCAGAACATTCCAATAACTTCTCAAGACTTTCTGAATAAAATCTGTAGCCTTTGGTTTAAAAGTCTCTACTAATTGGCTCTATCCAACAGAAGGCCTCCACACTCTCCTTCAAATCACTATAATGCATTAGTTTTGCAGTAACTTAACTTAGCCTAAGCCTTTTTTTATTGCTGTATATTGCAACCCTATGAACTGTACCCACCATGTTCTCTGTCCATGGGATTTTCCAGGCAAGAATACTGGAGTGGGTTGTCATTGCCTTCTCCAGGGGATCTTCCCAAGCCAGGGATCGAACCTACATCTCCTGCATCTCCAGCATTGCAGGCAGATTCTTTACTGTTGAGCCACAGAGGAAGTGGTATAGTAATGGGACTTTGAAATGGAGACAGAACAATCTTTTACTGGTATTTTGGCAGCTTTTGCAGGCATAAAAATTCACAACAATTGAAGCTGCTATTGATATACAGTGAAAAGGGTCAAGGCAATACATGGGAAATGTCCAAACAAGAAAAATTTGATTCACATCCTGCATGCCTTTCAAATGTTCACCATATTTTCATGGAGGCAATTAAAACAATTTGCTTATCCAAGCCTAGGATCCAGCTCTTTTTGTATATTAATGAAAAAATTGAAAGTGTTAGCTGTTCAGACCTGTCCAGCTCTTTGCGACTGCATGGACTATAGCCCACCAGGCTCCTCTGCCCATGGAATTCTCCAGGCAAGAATACTGGAGTGGGTTGCCATGCCCTTCTGCAGGGGATCTTCCCAACTCAAGGATCAA